ACAGGATTGGTTCAACAGAAATTGAGAGGGCCAGAGACCAAGAGAGACAAAAATGGAATCAGTATAGGAAGAGGCCAAACCCCCAAACATACCAGTGATACAAAGATGCGAGAAACGACTATACGGCAGTAAGGAGAGAGGCAGAAAGAAATTTTGAAAAGGGGATAGCGGATAAATGTAAAACAGAACCGGGCCTATTCTACAAATTCATAAACAACAAATTGCAGGTAAAGGATAATATCCAGAGGTAGAAAATGGGAAACAGATTCACGGAAAATGAAAATGAAATGTGTAAAACACTAAATGAAAAGTTCCAAAGTGTGTTTGTACAAAATGAAATCTTAAGAGAACCAGATACAATAAGAATTCTAGAGAACAACATAGAGCGTAAATTAATAATTAAAGTCAGTGAGATGTAATTAGTCACTAATTAATGTCATAAGTGAAGTGTAAGGTAATTACCAAAGTGTTGACATTGTTGGTTGTCAAGCAGTGTAAGTGATCAGTTCTGTGTTAATGTAATTCATTGCGGGTTAATTAACTGTCAGTGGGACAGTAATTAGTGCAATTATTCACATATTACTAATTGCCGGGTGTTAGAGTAATTACCTTTGAAAGCCTTGTTTGATTGCCTGACTGTGTGTTGACAGATCTTGATTTAACATAAATTACCTGCTTTTAAATGTCTGTCCAGGAATGTAATTAATGTAATTGTGTTAAACTTGTTGTTTTGGCTGAAATTGATTAGATCAACTGTTGTGTGTTTTACAACAGTACTGTAATGTAACTGATCATCTTGACTGCCGTCCGGAGAGACGAGCTTGAACATAATTAACTTGATGTACAGAAGACTCTGCGACAGGTCTGTCTGCTGTGTATTTGTTGTTGTCATTTTAAATTGTTTTGCCGCAGTCGCTCAGCACTGCTACTTGCGTCTGAGTGGTCACCCACTGTTTCAGTTAGTTCATGTTGAGGAGCCACGAGTGGTCTGAACTGGAGTTCAACTATACTGGCTGACTGTATAGTGTTGCCTGATGTCAACTACGGACTTTAACGTAACGTTAAATTATTGTGCTTTGTATTAGTATTAAGTTTTGTGAATAAATGTTAATTGTTAACAAACAACAAGGGTCTTTCCATCAACACCTTCCAATAACCTTTTCTTCAGTATTGGACTCTGCCACATACTTTAATCTGATTATATGCTTTTCTGGATACTTCTGAACTCTGACCCATTTTACACACACACACACACACACACACACACACACACACACACACACACACACACACACACCCCAAAATTAAATTTTGGTGCGAGATCCCATTGAGCTGCCCTTACAACTGCCATCAGCAGTTAGAGGAGCTCCACGACCCAGTGGAGAAAGAGTACCAAGGATCTGGACTCTGGTGACGGCTCTACATCATCTATTTCAGCCTTAAAGTAATACTCTGCACACACAACAGTCAATATGCTGTTAGTGCAGTCCTTTGACTGAGGTCACTTGTATTAGTGCCATTCCCAATAGATATAATCTCACAACACAACTGAGTAAAATGTGGCAAGCTATCTTGTCTTGAGATGATTTTGGGGCTTAGCGTCCTCATGGCCCGGTCCTCGACCAGGCCTCATTTTTTGTTACACACCCCTAGGAAGCAACCCATTGCAACTGTCTAGCAGGTACCTATTTACTGCTAGGTGAACAGGGGCATCAGGATGAAAGAAACTCTGCCCACTTGTTTCCGCCTCCCTGGTGAAGGCGGAGGCTGTGTGTACCGGTGGACTCAGCTGGCGACCTTGTGGGCTATATCTTAAGTGGGAGTGATTTATGTTGGGCAAGTTCGATCGAGGGGACCCAAGTTTCTGTGTCAACAGACACATAGGAAAAGGAAGCCGAGGAGGATTGAGTTGAATTCACTTGCTACAGGTGCAAGGCTGAGTTCAGGAAGGAACCCCACCCCGTAGTGGACTGAGGTGCTTCCCAGGTTGATCAGTGGCACCCAGGACGGGGAAAGCCAAGACCCCGCAACAGCTGTTATCGTATTTGTTGAAGTATTGGATGTTTTACTTGGTGTTAACAGTATTGCGCCCCGGGTGTGTGCTCCACGCATATGCACAAAGTAAGCCTGGCGGTGCGGGCGAGCGCTCAGTGACACTAAATGTGTATACTCGTTTCAGTTTTCTCACCTTAATTCTTGTGCTACGTCGTTTGTTTTGGTATTAATGTGTTCGCAATTAAATTCCCTGCAGATGTATATGCATATATTGTCCAAAAGCTCAGCGTGACTCCCTTAGCAAAGCCTCAAGTTACCCGTGAACGAGAACCAATTATCACACCCGCAACCTAATGTGTAAACTCATTCAGTTTGATAACATAAATGTGGTACATCGCTCGTTTGGTAACAAATTGTTCGCAATATTTATAGCCCGTATTTTAAAACTAGTCCCATAATAATAGAGCAATAACTCTAATTTTAACAAATATTTTAATATTGGACGCTCATCACCACAAAATTATTTATATCTTTCCAGTGTACCGACATAAAATTTTGTGTTATATCTTTAATTTTAATATCAAATTGTTCGCAATATAAAGGCGCGTATTTTAAAACTAGTCCCATAATAATTGCACAATAAACAGAATTTTAAGAAATATTTTAAAATTTTGACCAAAAACGTATTTATAATCTTTCAAGTGTTCTGACATTAAGTTTTGTGTTACATCTTTCATGTTGATATCAAATTGTGCGCACTCAAAAGGCGCTCATTTTGAAACTATGCCGAAGTCGATCGGATAGAAATTGAGTTTTATACAAATATTTTTTGTATTTGATGCGAGCAGTATCCAAAGCTAGGACACGAGAGAAAAAAGTGGACACGAGGGGTGTCCAAAGAGAGCGATAGTGTTATATTAATATCTGGGGTTCTGGTAAGGGGGGCCCACTGTAATCATATCCTCTCTAGTATTTGACAGAGTTGGTAGTAGAGTCTGGACATTTTTCTTATCCTCTTCCTCTTGCTAAACAAATAAATCTTCCTGATACGTAAAGTTCAGAACAGTGTGCTCCTGCCTCTCTCAATTGCTAGACCACTATGACATGGTCTTAGATGTTAAGGACGACAAGCAAAATGTTGATGCAAAATACACACAGATTTTGCAAAAGCCATCAACCAATGTGAACATGGTGTTATTGCACACAAAATGAACTCAAAAAGAAGTACAGTTCCTGTACTGTAGTGTTAATATCTCAATATTACATCCCCCATTCAAAACTGGAGAAATTGCTGACCAGCAGAGCATGCAAGCACCTTTACTACCAGAATCCACTCAATAAAATATCTAGATTATTGTGATCACTTAAAAATTGTAAATCTGTATTCTCTAGAGCATAGGCAGAAGAGATACAACATAACTTACACTTGGAATACTATGACAGATTTCAAATCTGTACACAGAAGTAATACCACATGAGACCAGAAAGTATGGCAGGATGTGCAAATTAGCTCCATTGAAAAGCTGAAGTGCAATAGATATGCTGAGGGAGAACTCAACATAAAAAGCCTGAGACTTTTCAACATACAGTACTCCCTCTACACACAAGGGGCATAACGAGCCGACCTTTCCTTGTGTTCAAAAGAGAATTTGATAAACACTTTCAAAGGATACCTGATATAACCACAATGTGAGTCAGACACCAAGCTGCAACAGCCTGGTTGACCATATCACCAACCAGGAGGCCAGGTCCGAGTCCGGGCTGCAGGAACACTGATCCTTGGAATCATTGGAAGGTAAACGAAATCTAAGGTAAAAGTGTTTGCCAAGGAGCCACCAATAGAAGCCCTCACAGAAAAAGCAATATAATGAGAGCTTATATACTACTGTATATATTAAAAACACATCATACTATATAACCTCATGACCATAGGCACATTACCTTCTGGCAAATTCTTCCCAACCACTACATTCAATTTTTATCCATTACATTTAATAACATCTACATACATGTCATCACTTGTTTCTAAATTAGTTTAAATTTTTCTCAAATCTACACTTTTTTTTTCCTCCACATTTGACTAATCTTTTTCACAAACTGTTTACTGACATTATACTTCCCTTTCCTTGTCTCCTTTCCATCTTCACTTTGGATCCATCAACTCCACTTTTCTCCCTCATTAACTGCTCTTGCCACTTCCTCATTCATCAAGCAGTTCCCATCACTTTTCTACCAATTTGTCTAATGCTTCCATGATGCTTAACTAAACATTCCTTGTATACACCTGACATTATAAAAAGAATAGTCAGTACTGTACAATAAATTGTAGCCCAATAAAAGTAAAAGATATGACTGCCACAATCTCTCACAAGATTGAACTTCACAGATAAGTAGTAGTTGCATAAAACAAAGTGTTAGGTTAAACATAGTCTAAATAAATAATAAATCTGCAAATTAGCACCACATCATGGAATGTAAGCAAGGACAGTTTTCCCTAACAGCCAGAGCAATTTTGTATAATTTCAAATATTTATTTTGAAATTAATTTGCCCAAAACAACAACACACTATTGACATCATGAATTATTAACTTAGCTAGGCCTAGATTGAGCTTTGCTAGTTCTGAGGAATAAACATATATTTCATTTTTGTTCATATTATGTTTCTTTCTATAAACTAAACCAATATTAATTTAAGTTGAAACCTTAATAGCCTTCAAGGCAACTCTGGCTATGAGGCTCAATAGACAGTCATTTATACATACATCTACACATCCATCCAGCATGTTGTTATAGATTCAGCTACTCGGAACAAGTTCCAAGTAGCACGGGCTATGGCGAGCCCTAACTTACCTGGCACAGGAGCGGGGCAAGTAGCACAGGCTATGGTAAGCCCGTAGTGGACTTACCTGGCACAGGAGCAGTGCTGTGGTTACTGCCATCCAGCAGTACACAGATATAAAATATTTCTCCCTCCTGTATACAGGTCAAAACACAAATAACCAACCTGAGCAATAGGTGGTGTATTCACCAGGCACTGGATTCCTGCTGCCATAAAGCAAGTATTACCCAAATTTCTAAGGCCACATATGCCACCAACTGCATTGTCATCTGTCAAATATGAATAAGAAGAATGTTTAATAAAAATAATAACAATTTAAACATATATACTAAGTAACATATGAACAAAATTAATGAAGTGAAGCAACACAAGGTGGCAACACCACAGTGCCTGCCCCAAATAACAAGCGCCACAATCCACCAGCCAACCTTCACTACCTTCACCGACACCACCACCAAACCTTGAGCAATACTCATAGTTAGAGGCAGCCAGTAAAATGGCTACAGTAAAGATTTGCCCATAGTGCCATAAGAACATAGATTATCAAGAAAGTTTTCAGTGCCAACTCTATTCAACTCTCTTCAAAACATAATTCCAATCTATAACAATGGAAACTGTGAAGACTAAAGCAAATTATAATCAAATGGAGAGAATACCTGGAGAGAAACATCATAATGGACAAAGTTTGGTTTTTAAACAGGAACGTCTTGCATAGCAGCTCTAAGTATTTATGACAGAACCACAGGTAACTTGCAAGGTAAGGTTAGGTTGGGCTTGATTATATATAGACAAAATAAAAACTGACAGCCACACACAGAAAACATTCCTAGAAATTAGAACAATTGGAAGGATAACAGGCAAACTACTGAATTAGACGAAGATTTTCTAAACGGACAGACAAGTGTGAGCAGTGATCAGAAGAAACTTATCTGGCTGGAGATGTCATTAGCAGAGTACCTCAAGGCTCAGATCTTGCGGTGATAACGTTTATTATCTATATAGTGAAACCTCAGTTTTAGAATTTTTTGATTCTCAAGCTCAATATCTTCAACAAATTTGACTCGGTACTTAAGGTTTGCCTCGGTGCTCGGGTTTGTTGACACACGTATGGGTTGACCGAGTGAGTGGCGCGCTTCAGTTTACCAGTGTCTCCCGCCTAGTGATGACCGCGCTTGAATTCTTTGTGAAGAATGTAATTAATTGTTTTTGTGATTTTTGGTTTCTGAACATAAAAGTTCTTGTTATATATCACATTCCAAGAAAGTCAGTGGTAAAGTTCAACCTAAGAAAATAGTTGTGAGGATAACGATAGAAGAAAAGCAAGAGATCATTCATAGAGAGAATCTGATGTCTCACTACAGACAAGTGTTAAAACACAGGGAAAAACATGTGTCAATAAACAGATTATTATTAAGACAAACAAGCAGTGAGCCACAACCAGGTCCTAGTGGTATGCCTGCAAAACATAGGAAAGAGAGTACCCCAGAAATGTCATCACCGCCTGCTCTTATAATGGAAGGGGACTCCCACTTCTAAACATTAACACCTCCTCCTCCTCCCTCACCACCTCACTGTCTTCCATATGTCAACAGGAGTCCTCATTAGAGGTAAGATATACATGCAGTACTGTATAGTAGCTAGTACAAAATGAGTTATTCGGTATAAAATGTATTTTAAAGTGAATATTTTGGAGGGTGTGGAACGGATTAATTCAATTTACATTATTTCTTATGGGAAAATTTGCTTTGGTTGCCGAATTTTTGGTTGACGATGAGTTTCTGAGAACAGATTACGATCATAAACAAAGGTACCACTGTATCCCTTTAGAGAATTCTATTGTGAACAATTTGATACTAAAATGAACGAAGTAACATGAAAATTGACACAAGACAATTGAAAGCAGTATACACATTTTAGTGCCGTTGTACGCTCACGGGTAACACTACTGATTTTCAGGTTTGCTGCAGGTGGCACACCGGGTTTTTTGACCTTTTATGCATATATCCCTTTAGAAAATTATATTGCGAACAATTTGATACCAAAATGAATGATATAACACGAAAATTGATGTTATCAAACTGAAAAGAGCATACATATTTGTGTGCGGGTGTTGTGGGGGTGTCAATGGGTGCTAGCTCACGGGCGACGCTTTGCTGACTTTCGTCTTTGCCAAAGCTTCGCCAAAATGAACGATGTAGCACGAGAATTTAGATGAGAAAACTTAAAAAGAGTATACACATTTTAGTGTGGGCACGCGCTCGCAGCAAATGCTCGGCCCACATTGGGAGGGTTGGAGGAGCACGCACCAGGCCATTCAATGCGTTAAAACCACGTAAAGAGCTCTAGGAATTGTCGTGGATAGTAAGCTGTCACCATAGGGACACATACAGGGTACTGTGAGACGAACCTAAGATTCACTAGCAAATTTCAACTTTTATGAGACCAAAATTGGAATAAGCATCAATGATAGTATTTCCAAATATCAAGAAACACACCAATAAACTAGAAAAGGTGCAGACATTCTACTACTTGGCTCTCTGAACATAAGAACATCAGCTATTAGCAGAGGATGTAGACATCAAACATACAGGGCAGAAAGATAGGAAAAAAAAAAAAAAAGCAGTGTGATCATTCTATACAATAGTAACAGGAAACAACAAAATAGGTAAGGAATAATTTTTTAATCCTGCACTTTAAGAACAAAGTGTCCATCAACTCAAGCCGAGTAAAAACGTTGCCGAAAAAAAAATTTAAAGTTTTCTTTTGCGAACAGAGTTGCAGAAGGTTGGAACATGAGATGGCGATGTTGCCTAAATCATTACAGGAGCTTCAATGTGTCAGATTCAGACGATGAGCAACAATAACGTGGCTGAAAATATGATGACCAAACCACACACCAGAAGATGAAGAAACGATGACGTATTGATCCATTGTGGCCCATTATCAAGTCAATTGTGACTTGATAATATCACACTTGACGATATATCATAATGTCAGATTATTGTGACAATGTCACAATCGGTGTCACATGACAAAGATTATTGGTAAAATAGGACACCAAGAATGTAACTCTCATCCTGTACCTACACTTAGGTAGGTACCTGATGGCAGCACCAGGTCCTGCCCAATAACACCAGCCAATCAATCACCTGGTGCTCTTTAAATACACATTAATTTAGCCCAGGGTACAATTCAACTACGGTGAGTACCAAATGGCGAAACCTTTCGGTGATATATGACTTATTACCAAGACATCAGTTGTACAAAAATGTAAATAGAAGTTGGAATGAAATGAAAATTAATTGCATTACAACATCCTGAAACTGGATAAAAGTACAAAAACAATCAAATTATCATACATAATAGGCAGCCCTCAATTTGAGAAGTGTTTGCAGTTCTGAAAATCCAAGTAGAGCATGACCTACACTAACTAATATTTAAAAGTACAGTATATTGAAAATAGGGATATCCTCCACAGACATCACAAAAATCTACTTTTCAACTCTCCTAAATAAAGCACTGACGTGAACATTATTATTTAATACTACTCCCATCACTTTACATTCACAAATACAGTAGTGTTGAGTGAGATTTGTGGCTGACAACATACTAGACCCAAGGACCTCCTAGAAGTTTTTGCAAATATGAACAATAATATTGTGAAGCTAGAAGAAAAATTATTCAGTAAAAAGCTGTTACTGGCCTTAAGAAGCATAAAATCCACTCCCCTATTAGAGTGCCTTATTACCTGTGATATCTCCATAAGATAGTGTTCCCGATTCATGTACAGGGCTATTGAAGGTTGCTGGCATGTGGGGTCCATACACAGGACCAACACCAAAGTCACCTGGCTCTAGTCCTGGCATTTCACTAAGACCTGTTGAGTCAGCATTGTCAGGCTGTTCAGTACTGATCATGGTGTATCCTAATCCAGGGTGGGAGTTCCCATAATGATTATCATCAGATCTGTTGAGGAAATATATACCATATTACTAACATAAGCTTGTGAAACACATTTTTTAATTATAACACTAAATATACAGAAGGTTGAAATACAGAAATTGTGAGAGGACCAGAGAGGTAAAGACAAGAAATGGGTACAATACAGGAAGAGGCCTAACCCCTCAAACATACTAGCACTACAAGCAAGCAAGAACAAATACACAGCAGTGAGGAGAGAGGGAGGCAGAAAGGAACTATGAGAAAGGTATTGCAGACAAATGTAAAACACATCCAGAGCTTTTTATAAAGTCATTAAAAGCAAGCTGCACATAAAGAATAAAATCCAGACATTGATAATAAGGAACAGATTTAGGATTACAGCTCTTGCTTGCAGTTTTACTAGGTACGTCAACTGACAGCACCTATGAATCCCAGGCTTAGTTTGTGTGTAATTACCTAAGTGTAATTACCTAAGTGTAGTTACAGGATGAGAGCTACGCTCATGGTATCCCGTCTTCCCAGCACTCTTTGTCATATAACGCTTTGAAACTACTGACGGTCTTGGCCTCCACCACCTTCTCACTTAACTTGTTCCAACCGTCTACCACTCTATTTGTGAAGGTGAATTTTCTTATATTTCTTCGGCATCTGTGTTTAGCTAGTTTAAATCTATGACCTCTTGTTCTTGAAGTGCCAGGTCTCAGGAAGTCTTCCCTGTCGATTTTATCAATTCCTGTTACTATTTTGTATGTAGTGATCATATCACCTCTTTTTCTTCTGTCTTCTCGTTTTGGCATATTTAATGCTTCTAACCTCTCCTCGTAGCTCTTACCCTTCAGTTCTGGGAGCCACTTAGTAGCATGTCTTTGCACCTTTTCCAGTTTGATGATGTGCTTCTTAAGATATAGGCACCACACAACAGCTGCATATTCTAGCTTTGGCCTAACAAAAGTCATGAACAATTTCTTTAGTATATCGCCATCCATGTATTTAAATGCAATTCTGAAGTTAGAAAGCATAGCATAGGCTCCTTGCACAATATTCCTTATGTGGTCCTCAGGTGATCGTTTTCTATCTAGAACCACCCCTAGATCTCTTTCTTTATCAGAATTCTTTAAAGATTTCTCACATAATATATAGGTTGTGTGGGGTCTATGTTCTCCTATTCCACATTCCATAACATGACATTTATTAACATTAAATTCCATTTGCCAAGTGGTACTCCATCTACTTATTTTGTCCAGGTCTTCTTGAAGGGCATGACAATCATCTAAATTTCTTATCCTTCCTATTATCTTAGCATCATCAGCAAACATGTTCATATAATTCTGTATGCCAACTGGTAGATCATTTATGTACACAATAAACATCACTGGTGCAAGAACTGAACCCTGTGGTACTCCACTTGTGACATTTCTCCATTCCGATACATTGCCTCTGATTACTGCCCTCATTTTTCTATCAGTCAGAAAATTTTTCATCCATGATAGAAGCTTACCTGTCACCCCTCCAATATTTTCCAGTTTCCAGAACAACCTCTTATGTGGAACTCTGTCGAAAGCCTTTTTTAGGTCCAGATAGATGCAGTCAACCCAACCATCTCTTTCCTGTAATATCTCTGTGGCTCGATCATAGAAACTGAGTAAATTTGATACACAGGATCTTCCAGATCGAAAACCATACTGTCTGTCTGATATTATATCATTTCTCTCTAGGTGTTCTATCCATTTAGTTTTGATTAGTTTTTCCAATACTTTCACTATTACACTTGTCAATGATACAGGTCTATAATTGAGGGGGTCTTCCCTGCTGCCACTTTTGTAGATTGGAACTATGTTAGCCTGTTTCCACACGTCTGCTACGACTCCTGTACACAGGGATGCCTGAAAGATCAGGTGAAGTGGAATGCTGAGCTCAGATGCACATTCTCTCAGAACCCATGGTGAAACGCCATTTGGGCCAGCTGCTTTGTTCTTACTTAGCTCCTTGAGCATTTTTTCCACTTCGTCTCTAGAAACCTCTATGTGCTCTATGTTGTTCTCTGGAATTCTTATTGTATCTGGTTCCCTAAAGATTTCATTTTGTACAAACACACTTTGGAACTTTTCGTTTAGTGTTTCACACATTTCCTTTTCATTTTCCTTGAATCTATTTCCCATTTTCAACCTCTGAATATTATCCTTTACCTGCAATTTGTTGTTTATGAATTTATAGAATAAGGCTTGTTCTGGTTTACATTTCACTGCTGTCCATGTTTCAAAATATCTTCGTGCCTCTCTCCTCACTGTCGTGTAGTTGCTTCTCACATTTTTATATCGCTGTTATGCTTGGGGGTTTGGCCTCTTCCTATACAGTATTGATTCCATTTTTATGTCTTTTGGTCTCTGGCCCTCTTGCAATTTCTGTTGAACCATTCCTGTTTCCTAGTTCTGCATCTCTGGTTTGGTACAAATATTTTTGTGCCTTTATCGTATATTTCATAAAACTTGACATACATCTCTCTCGCTTCATTTCCTAACAGCAAGTCTTTCCAGTCAAATTCCTTAAAGATATTTCGAAGTTCCACATTATGTCCTCTCCTGAAATCAGGTTTTTCAACTGCTTCAACCTCCTTATTTTCTTCCAGTACCAGAACAGCCTCCGAAGCCAAACCCTGCCCAGCCAGAAAACCAGCAAGGAAAAGTTCAGGCTCCTGTACAGCTGCTCAAACAACCACCGAGTGACCTGGGTCCCCCTCAAAAACAGCAGACGATGGGACTCCAGCTGGAGCAAAGCCACATGAGGAAGAGAAATGGACGCAGTCCAAAAATCCCACATGAGGCCCACCCAAGTCCAAACCCCAGATGGAACCAAATGGGATTTCCTTCAATTCACCAGGAACCCAAAACCGGCAAGCTGGGAAAATAAAAACATGTCCCTGGTGAGCAGACAAGTAGACCGGCTGAGAGCCCAAACCAACCAATTATCGAGGTAGGCCACAACCCGAGCCTCTAACAAACGAATACAGGCCACCACAACCCAGGTTAACACTTTCGCGCTATCTGGACGCGCCGGCGCGTTCGGTTTCGTCTAACGTAAACGCATAGTGGACATAAAGTTATGTCTACTTTTAAAATATTTGTATAAAATTCAATTTTTATCCGATTTACTTTGGGTTTGTTTCAAACTGCGCGCTATGAGGCTCTCTTTCTCACCACTAGGCTGCATGGTACAATAAGTTCATGAAAGGTGTGGATAACTTCGATCAAATGGTATTTTGTCCCAAACGGGTTGCAGGTGGGTGACTAGCCGTTTATACTGGTAATTCTTCCCCCATATCATGTATTATATGCATATGTCTGTTTAGGGAATTTTATTCCTATCAATATACAACCAAAAATAACTGTGTGCAACAAGTATAATCTTGACAAACATAACAAAAGTAAAAATATTTCGTGTGTGTTTGACGCTCACTGATATGTTCCAGCGTTGTTTTATATTTGTCGCTATTCTAACTTACGCTTTGTTGATATTTTTTACCTATGGGCACATAGAACATTCTATTGCGAACACATTGACATAAAAATGAATGACGTACATAGAAAATTAATGTCATGAGAGTGAAATAAGTATAAACTTTCAAAGCGCCGTGCGTCATCCCGTCACCGATACCGGGTAACAATTTCACCACTTCCCACACTCTTGCGGGCGGGCTGCATCATTATTCTACGCTTATATTCATATCACCGTGTTGGGAATTTCATTGCGAGTCCATTGATACCAAAATTAACGCTGTAGAACAAGTGTGGAGGTGATTACAATCCCAAGAGTAAAAACATTTTGTTGCTGATGGGCGCTCACGGCGAGTCATCTATGTAGTTATTTATTTGGTGCTGGTATCCCTATATGTTTCTTGACTTATTTTACTAATGTTCTTCTAGAGAATTTTATTGCGAACACGTTGGTACCAAAATGAAATACGTAGCATGAGAACTAAGGTCAGAAGAGTAAAAAGAGTATACACATTTTTGTTTTTACGCTTAAGCGATAAAAACGCAGCGCGCACATTCGGTTGGCTGAGTGACCTTTGCGGAGAGCGTGAAAGTGTTAAAAGGTGTGAACATGCGAGGTGCCAGAATAAAGCCGAATGGAAGGCAACAAAAGCGGTAAGCCTGATGCCCAACTACGAAACCTTGCCAATCCCTGAACTCCGGTGAATAGGACGGTGCTAATATGCGTTCTTGAGGTCCAGGGAGATTATCCAAGCCTCCGGCTTAAGAAGGTGGACCTGGGACAAAGTAGTCATCCGAAAGTAGGGCAAGGAATCCAATGGTTTAGACGGGACAAGTCCAGAATGAACCCGAGATTCGCAGTCCCGTTTTGGAACCGGAAACAAGCTTGAAACCCATTTGAGGGACAAAGTCATTTCGACATCGAAGTCTACCACCCCCAAGCGAACTCAAAGATGACCCGACAAAGATAGGGAAGAAGCCCGCCCCGCCAGCCCCAACCAGAGGAGCCGCCCAATGCCACCAAAGGCCAGAAGAGACGACACGAAAGGCCCACGAAATGTGGGACGAAGTGTGATCCCATGAAATGTGGGACCAAATGTAATCCCACGAAAGGGCAGACACGACCTTCAAGAAGCCAACCAGATGAAGAAGACTCTGGAAGATGCACCGGCTCTGAACCTGGTACCAAAAGCCACCCTTGACTTGCTGAAACCCGAGCCCTGGCATGACCACCCCGGGAAGAGCAAGCAATCCAAGAGGAGAGAAACCTCCGGAAGGATGTATCTGAGGAACCCAAAGGCACCCAGAAACGAGCCTAGAGTTGAGAGCCGCACCAAACTCAAATTCATACAGAGATTTAAGACACGAAAACCCCCGACTCTGCAACAACAAACCTTGCTCAGAAGGCACAAAGACCCAGGCAGGATCAAAAGGAGTCCAAGCAGACTCCCCCTGAGCCCGGGGAACCCCCAACACAGGCCCTGGGGCAGAGCCCATATCCAAGCCCACTACCCTTGAAGAAAAGGCAGAGTC